TCAGGCTCCTTCCCCACCAGAGAGGTTACATTCCATGTCCCAAGAGCCAGCTTTGGTAAACCAGGGTCAGAGCGCCAAGGCCATTGCCCACGGAGTCATGAATCCAACTCGTATGGCCCCCTCCTGCAAGTGGTGGACCCACAGGAAGGCAAACCCATGCTGATCATTCGGACTGAGCCCAGCTGGGCCCCATGGGTAGAGACCAAATCACCAGGCGCTTGCCGATGAGCCCCTCCCCCAGCCCTGGCTCTAGGGTGGGGCCCAGGTAACCCATGTCCAGGCAAGGGACACAGAGTTCCTTGTTTTTTTTGGTCCATAAAAGTCTTCGGAATCGCTCTTTGTCTGGACTGTCGTCTGATTACAGCTCATGCAGAGTAATTTGATTACAGCTCATACAGAGTAATCCGATTACAGCTCATACAGAGTAATCCGATTACAGCTCATGCAGAGTAATTTGATTACAGCTCATGCAGAGTAATTTGATTACAGCTCATGCATAGTAATCTGATTACAGCTCATGCAGAGTAATTTGATTACAGCTCATGCAGAGTAATCTGATTACAGCTCATGCAGAGTAATCTGGTTACAGCTCATGCAGAGTAAATCATGGATCAGCCTGTTTGTGAATATTAAAGTGCTCCTGGAGGCCCTGAGCAGATGCTTGTTTCACTTGTGGCTCTGATTGCAGATGTGATTAATTTCACATCAGGACTATCAAAACACACAAAAATACAAACAATTTAACTTTATGATTACTAAACAAATGTTCTTTAAAAAATATATTTTAAATTGTTCTCAGTGAAATTCTGTTTCAAAGTTAACCCTTTAAATTGCATAGCATGTGTTAGAATATAAAGAAAATGTGTTTTTTATCAAAATAAAAATAAAACAGAAAAAATTAATAACTATCTCGTCTATCGTTCCATCTTCTAATAGTAAAGAATCTTCTGATCCGTCTCTGATTTTAATTTTTTTTTAATCGAAAGCAAAATCCTCTAAACTCACCGTAAATGTGTTGTTGCTTCTCTGTCGTTTCCGACTGGAAATCGAAACATCGCCTTCAGGTTTCATAGTTTTGTGTTGAAGAAACTTCCTGCTGAACTTGGAGGAGGATGATGTTAAATAAATATCCAATCATCAGAAAACAACACACGATGTGCTGCCCTCCTCTGGTCTCTGCTCTTTCTCTTGAAACAAGCTTCATGATGATTTTTTTCATTTGCGGCTTTTTACATCGTTTTATTCAAACAACTGAAGTTTATTTTGTTGTGATTTACTGTTCAGCAAGACAAAAGCATCACAACAAACTCTGAAATGCATCAGTCCACCAGGAAATAATCCCCTTCAGTGCTTCAGAGTTACAGAAAAAACAAAACGGAAGAGTTTATGAAATTGGGCTCAGCTGCTTCATAAAATGATGCTGAAAAAAAACAAACAATAAAATCATGCAACCGCTTGAGAAAGCACCAGGAGGCCTCAGAGCTTAGATTGTTTAATTAGTGATTAAACAGTCACCAATCTTAGTTAATTACAAACAAGTTATTTGCTCGGACCAATATTACCTTGTATATGCTTCCATTAGGTAAAATTATTAAACAGCATGGGGTAATTTTTCATTGTTATGCTGATGATACACAGTTATATTTATAGTTGTCCATGAAACCCAATGAATCCAATCAGTTACACATGTCTTAAAGACATAAAACCTGGATGATCCTTCATTTTCTGCTTTTAAACTCAGATGAGACTGAGGTTTTAGTTTTTGGACCTGAGCACCTCAGGAATGAATGTTTCAGTCTTTCTCCCTCCTTAGATGCATTAATCTGTCCTCCAGCTCTAATGTTAAAAATCTTGGTGTTATTTTTTATCAGGACATGTCTTTTATCCCCACATTAAAAACGTTACTAGAACCTCCTTCTTCCACCTGCGTAATATCACTAACATTAGAAACATCTGATCTAAAGATGATGCAGAAAAACTGGTCCATGCATTTGTCACGTCTAGACTGGACTATTGCAATGGTTTATTATCTGGGTGTCCAAATACTTCTTTAAAACGTCTTCAGTTGATCCAAAATGCTGCTGCCAGAGTCTTAACTGGAGTTGATGGGGGACTCCTGGAGGTTTGACAGGAAACCACAGCCCCATGTTTGTAGGATTCTTGGGTTTCCAGCCATAATCACTTTCCCCTCAGCTGATAATCATTCAATCGTCCACCCTTCCACTCCTGCACCTGATCCTGATGACTTCTCTGCTATGTTTTAAACTCCTGGCAGTCATTCATCCAACGCTGGAACATTATGACACTTGCTGTAATGAAAGTGAAAGCCAAAAGCCTTTCTTTGTGAAAGTTATACTAACCTTTGAAATGTTCTTGTATCCTTCAAGTCCTGCTCCTCCGTGTCTCCTGAAACCTCCTCGCTCTTTGTGCCCTCACCCTGTCATTCTGTTCCTGCAAAGGCCCAACATCAGCACCACCAACCTGTCACTCACTTCATCATTACTCAGCTCTTCTCGATCATGCTTTCTCTACCCTTGGAATCCTAGGACCTCCTCCGCTCCCACACGACCTCCAAAACAACGAGAAGTAAGTCCGTTAACAACAAACAACTTCCCACCATCTTGAAAACTGCCCATACTCACCTTGTTCCCCTTTTTCTTACCGCGCAGATCTCTTCCAGCACTTTGTAAATAAACTCACTCACCTTTTTAATTCCTGGGTCTGTCTTCATCAGTCTGCTAACTTGAGGTCATAAAATCCAACGTTAATGTTTCTGTGTAAGGTTTAAATAAACGTCAGCGTAACATTACACGGCCTCGGCTATCCTCACTGACACAAACCTCTGCAGCAGACCAACACTGAGAACCTCCTCTCAACATCTTCTGTCACAGAGGTTATGAACAAATGTTGCCCGTGTTGTGTGAACCTACGAGACTTAAGAGAGGAGCTGGACCTGACTCCAGTCTGGAGTTGCCCATAATAAATGTCTGGTGTAACCCTACATGTGAGCGTAGGGTTACAGGAACAATGGCGCGATGAAGCCCTCTGAATGTCTTGTCACATGACAGTAGATTTAATGACCTCAAAATGGCCGACTGAAGAGGCTCAGAATACAAACACAAGTGTTTTTTTATTTATTTACAGAGCAGGAATCAGGTTTGGCTGTGGGAGGAAGCAGGGAGCAATGATGGGTACGATGTTTCTGGATATCCACTTTGGGAGATAATTGTGTGTGGAAGTATTCTTACGGTAGTTTGTTTTGCAGGTCACGTTGGAGAGTGGGAGAACCAGCTCTTAGTCTTTCCGATGGTGAGGAAGGTGGAATCCAGAGAGGTGAGTAATGCAGCAGAGGGTGACTGGTTTGTGGAGTCCAGAGTGGGATTCAAGCTGAGTCTTGGTGTTCAGGTTGTGGCACATAAAACATCCATACTAGACAAGACATTAAGACGACCGTACAGAAAACATCATTCATTCAACCTTTATTTCTACAGGTTAGTCCCATTGAGCCTCGAGGACTCATTTACAAGAGACCTGTATTTTAACAAAGAATGATGACAACAGTGGACAATCATAAAGGATGTGTACAAATTGAGATTTTTTAACAAGTGAAAATCAAATGGTATTTAAAAAGAAAAAGTAACAAAAAAAAAAAACAGCTAGGTTGTAGGGCGATGTAGAAAACTAAAAACAAGAACATTCATTGTTCGTTGAGAAGCCTGATCTCTACAGGGATGAATGAGTTTTTCAGTCATTTAGTTCTGCAGGTCACTGAGGTTCTGTAGGTCACTGAGGTTCTGCAGGACACTGAGGTTCT